GTGAAAATAGAAATGACATTTTAAGAAATTATTGTCTACAAACAGTGCTCTTGAGATGTGTGCATTTTACCGTGTGTTCAGAAAAAGCTACAAGCAAATAGTGAACTCTAGTAATACACATGCTAGAGTATACTGACAGTGTGTATTAACGGCTGCAACTTTCTCTGACATGCACCCCCCCCCAAAATTCCAGATGGACAGATGTTGAGAGGAAGAGCGGAATGGACAGAAGCAATGATAAAACCATGCACTGTCAAATACTAACGCATGTAATTAAAAAAAAACTTGAAAAAATTAAAATAAAATTTTTAAAATAAATAAAAATAATTATTAATTTAAAAATACATCAAAATAAATTTTGAAAAATATTAATGCACATAGACTCTGACTGACAGGTATGTGAGCATTACCTCTAACATTCCTTCAATTTTTCTGCACTGTTTGTTTTTTATAAGAAAATGTCAGAATAGTAGAGGCCTATAAAATAATTTAAATGACAAGAAAATATACTGATGTTATAATATTAAGCAGGAAAAAGCAAACTTGATGGTTTCCATTATATAAAGCCCCTTCTGCCACCATGGGAGAGACGGGATATGAGGCATTTTAGAAAAGACTCCCTTTCGGGAAAAAAAAAAAAAAATCTCTGCTGAAATATCGTCATTGGAAGTTTGTTCGTCTGCATCTTGAAGGCTTTTGGCCTTCCAGAATCCTCTTTTATGTTTAGGGTGTCTAAAGAAAATACCCCTCAAGTTATTATCAACATTCATCTAAGAGGGAGAGAAACTGGCAACGAGCTGAGAGTGAAATAGAACTGAGAAGTAGCAAGAGATGGAAAGCGACCACTGAGGAGACGGGAGGAAATGGGGTCGGTGAGGACAGAGCCCTTTTCAGAACATGAGCTCCCACAGGCTGCACCACAACATTTGCCATCTTATGCCATATGAAGAGGGAAACTGAGGCACAGAGGTGTAAAGAGACCTGCCTCAGGTCAGAGAACACCACAAATGTAGAAGTCAGGAGCAGTCACGTCACCACAGGCTCTCCGCCACAGGTTCTTCTGGTTTTACCCTATGAACCTGCACCAGGGGCCAGGAAGTCAGAAACCAGCAGCAGGTGTGCTCGGGTGCAACAGAAGAACACCCCAGTGTCTCCAGGGAAGACACTCCCGCCTCCAGCTGTGGGGGAAAGCACCCAAAGTGGTGCTTAGTTCACCTGGATCCCTGCACCACCTGTCCTAAGGCAAATCACATTCACCTGTTACCTTCCTGATGTAGAACCCCACGGTGGGGGGTGGGAGGGTCATGGGAGGGCAGGGCAAGGACAACCATGCAGTGAGAGGACCAGGGCCCCCCCCCATGTGACCCACGAAAGCCGCTCCAATGACAAAAAAAAATCTCTGCTGAAATATCGTCATTGGAAGTTTGTTCGTCTGCATCTTGAAGGCTTTTGGCCTTCCAGAATCCTCTTTTATGTTTAGGGTGTCTAAAGAAAATACCCCTCAAGTCAGCCTGGAGACTACAATTTCTGAAAATGCTCGTCCGAACCGGCTTCTTGATTTGGAGAGTCACCCAAGCGTAGAATTACTCAAGAGTATCTTTGCCCATGAAACTGCCCTTTTTTTTTCTTTACAAAATCTGGCTGTTCTTCCCAAAATGTTTTGACTGGAAATTTTTGAAATGTCTTGAATGTATTTATGTGCCGTTCTTTGAAACAAGGGGGATTTGCCCTATTCCACGTTGCAACATGCAGCGAAGGTTCAGAGTCCAAGAGCCAGAAACCATAGAGCTAGAATTACAGGAACGCCATCCTGAGGCCAGAGGCACAAAGTGAGAGTGTCACTCTGACCAATGGAAGTGGCCTCCGGAGATGGGGCCCAGCCCAAAAAAAGGAAACACTGAGGAGAAGAGGTGAAATGAACTGCATCTTAGGACAACGGAGAGCCTACCGTTCAGAGTTATCCCTTGGCAAATGCTTCCCGAGCATCTCCTGAGTAGGGAGGTGCATGTAGGCACAGCCATGCTGGGCGATAGAGACCGTGACCGCAGGGGGCTGGAGAGCTCAGGTATGCAGAAGGTCAGCTTGGGCTGCCATTCCTGACCGGGATAGACCCCCTTTGCAGTCCAGTTCACAAGCCTCCCTTTCCAGGTTTTGGGACCTCACAGTAACTACATGGACGTTCCTGGAAAAGGGAGAATTCAGGACATTGATGACACAAGAAGCTGGCAGGGGATCGGGGAGCAAGAAAATACAGGGTGCTTGGGCCTTCCAGGTTGTTCGCCTGAGGTTATCACCCGCCTGAGAGACCTTCTTCCCTAGAAGCTCTCCAAGACACTCAGCAAACACCATTTTTGGTTCTTCCCAAGAACGCTACCATTTTGCCAGCTGCATGGACGCTCTTATAAAACATGTCCCCAGATGTCTTGATTATGGAACTACATCGGATTGGGACCCCTTCTTCACAGAGAAGGGAGGGGGCCAGCTTTGCAAGAGGTGGTTCCATGCAGACCTGCCTCTCCACTACCCAAGACATGAGCTGTGATTCTCCAGAGTCCAGGAAGGATGTATTTGGACTTCTTAGAACAGAGCAGGTTCCCTGGCTTCTTGAAGTTAATGAGGAGTGAGACACTTAGCTTTGATCTCTGCCCCAAGCCATGGGCAATCAAAATACTCTGCCTTTGTACTTACGTAGGTAGCTCCATTTTTAGGCAAAATTGCACAGAGCAACTAAACCAGTGTTGGCACCTCCCAGGTGCCCCCTCAGCTGCCCACACCCAGCCTCATAAGTCTGGGCCTTGGCTCGTCAGCCCCGAAGCAGGACATTAAAGACTTATTGAGCTACATCTCTAATAATATTTTAAAAAATGTTTAAGAACCACCATAAAAATCCATTGGATGGCATTTTTTTTTCCATTTTGGCAAAACTAGAGTCATAGTCTATGTTATTACAAACTCAACCACAAGAGAAGAAAGTCAGCCAGTCACAATTTAGAAAATCACATTCCAATAGCACTAGAAGGGTATATTAGCTGAACAGAGATGTGTCCAGTCACATCTGTCTTTTTCCACAGACGCTGCCCCCCCCAGGCCACTATTGAGCAACCTGTCCCCTTTCCAAGCAGTGTCTGCATGCTGAATACTGACCCAAAGTGATTCTGTTTTCTCAAACTTGTAGACAGAGAGGCCTTGGACTGGATATAATTTGAGAAGCCCCAGAGACAGACCCCCTGACCTTTCACCCCTCTGCCAATTTAGAGTCATTGGAGGGAATATTAACTCTAAAAGGTCCTTTATAAACACAAGCTGCTCCTGGGAGGGATAAGGGATTAAACCACACAGCCATTCACACTTTAGTATGAAGTAGGCTGATAAGAGCTACTATTTATTAAGCATCTACACCGGGCCTCACATTGAAGTAAGCACTTTAGACAGTCACTGAATCAGACTTTGAAGGAGTTAAACATGATGAAATTTTGATGAGGGGAACATCTGGACAGGTCTGTTAGCAAGGAGGGAGGATGGGGATGGAGGGTTTATGAACAAGACTGACACCACAAAAAAAAAAAAAGACTGACACCACACATACACACACACACACACACACAAAAGACTGACACCACAAAGAGAGAGAGAAGGCCAAGGGGGGGCAATAATGAACTCTTATGAGGAACTCAAGATAGTCATCCCAGAGGTGACATTTCAGTGGAATTTTGAAGGACATGGAGTAGTTCAATAGGCAGCCATGGTGAAGAATGGAATTCTTGGCAGAAAAAACAACATGGAAAAGATTCAAGTATAGAAAATGACACCATATATCTATCTGTCTAATCGCCAGCAAGAATACTCAAATTAAGAGAATTCAGGAAGGGTTCAGTAAGACAGATGACTGACAAAGATATGGCAAGATACAGGGAAACCGCAAGAGAGAGTGCAGGCCTCGAAGGGCTGTACCACCCCTGGACTCAAAAGCATGAAGGCGGGCAACAGTTACCTGAAGACAGCGAGCCACCTGAGAGGATCTGAGACATCTAAGGCACATAGCCCACCCGAGATGACCCCACAGAATGGGGGCCAAGGAAATCAATACCTCCACATCTCTCTCCCTTCTGCCTATGGGGCTCCCAGCCACCAAGCTCAACAGGAAGCCAGAGGGCAGGGCAGGGGAGTCTAGGTGATGCACCCCAAGTACCAATCCCTGGGTCTTAGCTCTGGGCAGGGCAGAGTGGAGGGAGGATCTGGGGTGGGGCAACAATAAGGCAACGAACAGAGTGTGTGAAATGTGGCCGCAACATGGAGTATGGGTTGGAGTGAGAGGTGACAGAGGGACACGGAGCAGGGATGTGACCACAAAGTGAGCCCATCTGTCAGGCTAAGAGTGAGTGGAAACCACTGACCCAAAGTGGTCGCAGAGACACTGACCACTGCTGGCCTTCGCTGAGGGCCCTGGGAACAGGCGTCCATCAAATGATGCGTGGCAGCCAATGACTCCTGAGCTAAGCCAACACCTTCCCAAGCCTTCCAAGCTGCGCCCTGGAAGCCCACCCCAGCCGCCGTTGTCTCCTGGAGCTCCCACCGCGGCAGACAAGAGCCTGGGAACACAGAGGGGTGCTGTCTGCCAGTGGCTACCGAAGCAAGCGCAACCTAGAACATCTGGGACCAATTAAAACCAGCCTATCTCTTTAATTTATACTCCAGTCCACCTTTCCCCCCTTCCTCTCGTGGAAAGAGAGCCCTGTGATGAGGAGCTCTGCAGGAACAGGTTTCCCAGAAAAACGAAAAATGTCTGACTATCCCAAGGGACAGCTCCAGGCAGCCAAGTCAGTCCTGCCCTGTAAGGCCTCAGAAAAGAGACAGGCGCCAGCCCCCTCTCATCTGGGAAACATTAAAAGCCATCTCTGAAGTGATTCATTAAAAGTCCTTCAGTGGCAGAAGACCATCACCCAGATGTGAAATTCCAGCATCAGAACCGTTTCAAGTCTTTAAACAAATGCATGGCTATTTCAGGGAAAGGAAGAGTCTTTGACTGTCTTTCCAAGCCCACAGAATCCAAGTCAGCCTCTCTCCATCCAGCACGCCGGGCAAATTCCCACGATGCCAGACTCTGAAAACTGAAAGCACTCACTTGACTCTCTGGGGCCCTTCCCACTTGAACTTCTCTGCAGCTTCCCAGCCAAGGCCAGTCACCCACACTCACCAAGCTTCTGGTGGCGCAGCCTTCAGCTCAGCCTTCGTGAAGTATCAGAAGTCAAAGTAGAAGCGACTGCTCAATTCTGCTCTGGGGGGGAAAAAAAGCATAGAAAATAAATGGAGCGTGAATCAATATTAAGCAAAACAGCATATACACTGACAAAAACATAGTAAAAATGGAAGAAAATGTGAGCATATTTGAGCACAGATCACATGTTATGTCCAGTGTCTGACAGAGCAGATGGTGCATGGTAGGCATTTAATAAACACGTCAGGAAGGAAGGAAGAAAGAGAAGGAGGCAGGGACGGAGGGAGGGAGGGAGGGAAGAAGGGAGGAAAGGAAAGGAAAGGAAAGGAGGGAGGGAGGAAGGGAGGGAGGAAGGAAGGAAGGGAGGGAGGGAGAGAGGAAGGGGGGAAGGGAGGGAGGAAACAAAGGAGGAAGAGGGGAAGGAAGGAAGAAAGGGAGGGAGGAAGGGAGGAAGGGGGATAGAAGGGAAGGAAGGTGAGACATTCTCCACCCATGAGAACCCTGTCCAGGAATTTAGGAGTTACTCAAGTTCCTGCTTTACTTGGAGAAACCCAACAGAATCCCACCTTACCTCACTTCCTACCCGTTAACTGGTAAGGATCAGAAAGAGTTAAGTTCCTTGAAGTGAAATTCAAATCCTTCCCATCAGAGAATATTAAACTGCACCCACGCACCTGGAATTGCTCTTGTTGTTATTATTGCGGTAAAATACACACAACACAAAATTTGCTGTCGTAACAATATTTAAGGGTACAGCTCAGTGACATGAAGCACACTGTTGTGCCACCCTCACCAACATCTATCTCCATATCTCTTTTCATCATGAAGAAAATGAAACTCTATACCCATTAACCAACAGCTCCCTATTTCCTCCCCATTGGGCCCTGGCAACCATCACCCTTCTTCCGGTCTCTTCCCAAGTGACTGTTCTAAGGACTTCAAGTGAGTAGGATCAGACAGGATTTGTCCTTCTGTGTCTGTCTTATGTCACCCAGCACCATGTCCTCCAGATCCAACCACGCAGTAGCATGTGTCAGAATGTCCCTTCTTGTTGAGGATGAACAGTTGTCGGCTGAATGTATGTACCACATTCTCCTTAGCCACTCATCCGTCGATGGGCACTCGTGTTGCTTCCGCCTTTTGGCTCTTGTGACAAATGCTAGTATGAACATGGGTTTACAAATATCTCTTGGAGTCCTTGCTTTCAGTTCTTTTGGGTCGAGACACTGGGATTTCTTTTGAGCAGTGAAATTTCCCCTGAGAGGGGGAGGTGGGTAGAAAACCCAGCGTTCTCTGAGCTTCGGCAAATGACAGAGCTGTCAAGTGACTGGAACACATAGCAATTACGAACTTACGCACACTCGGACTTCTAACAGGACACTGTGTGCCCAGAGCGTTTTGAACCTCAGGGAACCGTCTCTTCATCACAACCAACTACTCATTCCCAGTCTAAGGGGCAGGGTTTGGGAGCCTAAGAAACCCAGTTCCAATCTCAGGAGGAGCCCTTATGGGTAAAGACTATTGAGAAAATACAAGATAAATAAAGCATGTATCAATATTTTTTTTTAAAAAGACTATTGAGAAAATACACAAGGTGCCGGTGTATCGTAAACACTCCATAAACACTGTTTCCTCCATTCTAAGACCTCACCCCCTTTTTCTCAATTTCACATTTCTCTGATCAAATTTCTGAATTGAGGGTGTACATCCCCAGGCGCCAGCTTTATCATTACCGGTGAATGGAATGAACTCAGCCAAACTGCTCTGGAGAGATCATAGAATTTTCCTTAGAAAAGCATGGGGTAAACAACCCCCACTTGAGAATGCCTAGCACACTTGCCTGCCAGAGGTCCCCATTCACCTCAGATGAGGTGAATGAGGGACTTCCAAAGAGTAAGTCCTTTTAGGTCCGCACTATGGAGCAGAACTGTTCATAATGTGGCTGAGGAACAGACACACCAGTGGAGCATCAGGGCTAAGGACGAAGGTTCTGGAATCAACTGTCCTGGGTGTGGCCTTAAGAAAGTCTGAGAAACAAACTGAGGGTTTTGGAGGGGAGAGGGGAGGGAGGTTGGGTGAGCCTGGTGGTGGGTATTAAGGAGGGCACGTATTGCATGGAGCACTGGGTGTGGTGCATAAACAATGAATCTTGGAACACTGGAAAAATAAAATTAAATTTAAAAAAATAATAAAGGAAAGAAAGAAAGTCAGTTCACCTCTCCAAGCCTCAGCTTCCTCACCTGGAAGAGGGAAGCTGTACCACTGCTGCCCCCTAGGGCGGCTGTGAGGAGCAGAGACAGATAACGTTGCTCCACGCTGGGCACAGAGCCCACACCCAGTCAGCTGTGGGACCAGCTGAGGGCGGTCAGGTGCCTTCTCCCCTCCATCCTCAGGCACGCCTGCAGCAAAGCTTACATCGTGCTCTGCCCCTTCTCCAAACTCTACCGTCAGCACCCTCCACATTTTCTTTCACCGCCTTGATCATAAAGTTTAGTAGAAATACAAAGGAGCCCCCCTGCCCCCACTTACCCACCAATCCATCCAGCCACACACCCACCAACATTAACTGAAGGCCTACCCTCTGCTGAGCCTCACGGAGCCACTGGGAGCCAATGATGAATGCAACAGACCTCTTCTCCACAGGAAGTCCCAGTGGACCTGGGGAGGCACAGAAGTAATGGGCAGAAAGTCAGACACTTACTTAGGGCTATGTGGTAGGAGGCATGGCTGCAGGCCCTTTGGCATGATCCGTTCCCTTCTCTCACACCCCATGAAACAGTACTCTCCGATCCTGTTTTACAGATATGGAAACAGCATGGGGACCGTAATGTGCCCCAGGTCACAAGGCTGTTCAGTTTCACCTCTACGCTGTTGGAACCCAACCCTAATGGGAGTCCTGGGGCACAGGTCAGGGGATCGGGCTTGAGGGCATGAAGGAGGGTGTTCAACAGTTCCCCAGGATCAGCGGGCCACCAACTGCTGTGGGGCTTCCGCACACGGAAGGCTGACACGGGGGAGACGTATAGGTCATACTCTTGGGCGCGGTCCCTCACAGTCACCAAGTCAGCTCACAACCTGCAAGAAAGCCCAGAAAGGGGATCGAAGCTGTCTCCACCTCACAAAGGAGCTATCTGAGGCTCAGTGGAAAGTGTCATGCCAAGTCAAAGCCAAAGATGCCCGGCACACCTGCCTTTCAAAGGCCCCCCCGTTCAGCTCAGATGAAAGAATTACTTCCAAAGGGAACATATTTCCCCCAATCCTAAATGCTTGTCAAAAGCAAGGGAGCTGGCTGGGGCACCTGTGTGCTCAGTGGGTTAAAGCCTCTGCCTTCTGCTCAGGTCATGATCCCAGGGCTCTCTGCTCAGTGGGCAGCCTGCTCCTTCCTCTCTCTCTCTCTGTCTGCCTCTCTGCCTACTTGTGATCTCTGTCAAATAAATAAATGAAATCTTAAAAAAAAAAAAAAAAGCAAGAGAGCTGGACTTGGCATTCAGTCTCTTTATCTCCCAGTGACCAGCCCACATAGCAGGGTCCCTTCCTTTACTCTCTGTCCTGGTACCCCCTCCTCAACACAGCCCCGCTTACTGCCCTCTCTAAAGCAGCACCTCATGGCTTACCACTGGCCTTCCCTGCTCCATTTCTCTTCAGGACACTTATTGGTTATCTGGTACCACAACAGTTTAGTATCTGTTTCTCCCCAACTAGACCATAAGCTCCATGAGGGCAGGAGACTTGTCCCATTTTGATTTTGACCATACCCTAACAACTAGAACAGTTTCTGGTACATTACAACAGGTCAGTGTGGTTTAGGTCAATGAATGAATGAACAAATGAATGGAAGTGGGTTCGGCAATTACCTTGTCTAAGAAACCAGAAACAAGGACCAGGAACTCACCTGGGACACCTCCCCCGCCCCCGTCTCCAGGTAATGTTGCCCCAGGCTTTGCCTCAGGCTAATAGGAACATTTGACCTTTTGCCTTCTCCTCCCCAGTGCTCTTCCCTATCAAGGACACTGCCCTAGGTGTCATGCCCAGAAGGAGGCCCTCAGTTCAGGGTCCTGCTTGGATAGTACCCCACAGACTCATTCCAGATCTTTCTTACTCACCCCTTGCCTCACACACTTATAGTGCCTTCTTTCCACCCCAAAATCATTATGAAGCCCAGTCTATTTCCTCAGGTACCTTGTAATCCTGCAAACTCACTCATGCTAAGTACTGAGGAATAATAACAGCTCACGAATGGAACTTCTAAAGGGCACTTCTAGGGGCACCTGGGTGGCTCTGTCATTAAGCATCTGCCTTCAGCTCAGGTCATGATCCCGGGGTCCAGGGATCGAGCCGCACATTGGGCTCTCTGCTAAGCGGAAAGCCTGCTTCTCCCTCTCCCATTTCCTTGCTTGTGTTCCCTCTCTCACTCCCTTTCTCTCTGTCGAATAAAGAAATAAATCTTTTTTTAAAAAATAAAAAATAAAATGAAATAAATAAAGGGTACCTTCTAGTGACAATAGCGTAACACACTAGAATGGCTAATTGCAGGAGTTTGGGGTCTCCTGGAAACTGACAACGCCTCACCAGACACAGAGCATTTCCTGCAGAAGTTATTCATTCATGTCTTCTTGTGGCACTTGAGCTTTTACTGAGCGCCTTCTGCCTGCTAGAAAGTATCCTGTGGGCTGAGAATAAGAGGGCGAGTGAGACAGCCAAGGTCCCTGCTCTCAGAAAGCACACCGTCTAGTTGAGAAGACAGAGCAATCAGCAAAGACTTTGTCAAGGAGCTTTAAGTCTCCGTCTTAGTATTGCAGGACAGGCTGCAAACTCACGAGGGGACCGGAGGCAGCTACCCAAAGGATGGGAGGTCCAGAGGCCTGCTAGAGAAACTGCCATCTCCACTGGCTGCTTCCAGCTGATAAGGAGTTCACCAGGGAACCAAGGGGATGTGGGCAGTCTGGTATATGCAACGGCACAGGGGTCTGAGAGGGTGCAAGCAGGGCTGGCCATGGGCCACCGGCTTCAAGCAGCCCTGCTAAGTGGCCGATGCCTGGCACAGCCAAGGCACGTGGGCC